ACCACGTGGTTACTCGCCGCACGTTTTTCGCGATCGAACGGCAGATGTCGCTGGCTTCTTTTCCCATTGTTCTACTCGAATCCGATCGGTGGGATGATGTGCGGCTAATTTCGCGTTTCGGATTCGTGGTTTCACGCAGCGACCACATAAATATTCCGTCCCATCGTATATCGCTCGCTCTGTCTGTAGCACGCAGCATCCGGTTAAGATCAGCGGGAAAGAGAGAGAGAGAGAGAGAAGAAATCGTACCCCCCACCCTCATTTACCGTAGCAATCCGTCAAAGTGCGTTCTCTCGGTTCGGACGCTTTTTTTTTACTTTCGTGTTTTCTCTCTTTCTCTCCATCAATCTTGAATCCGTGGATAAGAGAGAGAGAGAGACTGCACGAGATTTGCCCAAAGTCGTGTGCGCGCGCGCTTCAAGTTTTGCGTGTGTGCTCTTATGTGTGTGTGTGAGTGCGTTGTATTAATTTTTTGGTTCCGTGAGTTTTACGTGGATTCTTTTGGCCTGCCGTTCACGATGGCCGGACTAGACGGGAAGACGAACACGAAGAAGTGACTGAGGTGACTGAAGTAATTGTTCGCATCGTTGTCGTGAAATAGGCGCGCCGCACCGTTCGTTCATTTGTTAATCATTCTTCTGGTCTTGGTGATCATCGTGCAGGCAGCCAAGCAGTCAGACGACAGGTGACTTGATCGGTGGTGGATGATGCAGTGTCATAATTAACGGTTGAATAATACGAATATGTGCGTTCAAGTGAAGAAATATTAGCCACAATCTATTGCCTCTAGTGTGTGAGTGTGTAGTGCGCGGACACACGAAATACCTTATTTTCTCTTTCGTTTAGACTTATTTGTTGTTAGTTTTTTTTTGTTGTTTTTAATTCTGTTCTCACCTTGATTATCTATCATCTGTCGTTGACGTTCTTATATTTTGTAACAGCAGTTCCGCGGTGCACTTACCCGTGTGTGTAACTGTCTGTCTGTCTGGCTGTAGCCTATTCTTCTCCTATTTCGGTGACACGTCCAAGATCAACGGCGCTTATGAGGTAATAATAATAATCTCAATATTTCTTCCATCTATCCATCCTATTTCTCTTTTTCTCTCTTTTTTCTTTCCTTCCTAGGAAAAGAGATAGGCTGAGATAAGGCTTGTCCCGATGACAAGTTGTTGTTGTTGTCAGTGACAGTTGTCATAATTAATTAATATTTCTCTCTCTGACAACTTGTCAAACAAACATGTTGTGGGGGTGGCGGCGTGTCCAGGTGAAGAATCTCCTCCTTCCTTCTATTCCAT